GGGCGGGGGGGGGGGAAATGCTCCCTCTCGCCCTGTCTCTCGTCAGCGCCGCTTCTCCCGGTTTCTCTTGCAGATGCTGCTGCTAGGGGTGGTGGGAGCAGCCGTGGGACGCGTGGCCGGGAGCGGGGGTGACAGCCTGGGATCCCGGGGGCTTCTCTGCCTTGTCTTCCTCCTCTCTCTGTTCCCCGTGTGGCTGCGGCTGACACTAAAGACTTGGTAGCCACCAACCAAGTGCAGTTTCAATGGAAAATGAAGGTAAAGGCCCCTGGCAGCCGGGTTACCGCGCGGAGTTGAGGGTGTGGTGGTGTGTTTTTAAGTTGCCTTCCTTTCCCTACCTTTGTTTGTTTTCCCGGTTTTATTTATTTATTTTTCCCTTTTAATTGTGAAGTGTCCACACAATTGCTTCCTTAGGGTAGCTCGTTTTTTTGTGTTGGTAACATAAGGCATTTCGGAAATGCAAGTCCTGCGAGGTGACTGAGCTCGATTCTGCTTTCCCGGTCAGACCTTGAGCTTGGGGTAGCAGGAGGGAAGTTTTCCTTTCAGATAGCATCTCTGTGCAGATCGCTGTTTGAAAGCAATCACTGGAGAGGAAGTGGGAATGGGGAGGGAGAAATAAAAGGGACTGCATCTCTGTATTTGCACATCAAGCTTTGGTATGGTATGTGCCTGGGTTCCTTTATAAGAAAGGAAACGTTTTTGTTTTGTTTTGTTTTTAATTAAGTACAGCTTTGGGGGGGGGACCCACCATTTTTCAGTTCACACACACACAAAAAGTTCTGAATTAATGAAATATTATGCGGTGATTTCCTTTCTTAAAGTCCCACCCTATTTCAGAACATCATTTAGCAGGTTGAAGTGGAACCTGTTTGTCCACTGTACACTCTGGACACACTGGATTATTATTCACCTGATTCCTTTGGCCTCATTTAAATATTTAATGCTTTTCTAACACAGCACTGATTATTTTGTGAAAGCATTGAAAACTCTGAATAAGTGATCTCTTACCCTCCCGAGACCATCACAGTTATGGTGTGTGTGTGTGTGTGTGTGTGTGTGTGTTCATTCCTGGCTGCGAGATGCTATAAAAGATAATTACAAATTACAGTTTGTCCCTGTGTATCTTTTGGTTTTAAAACACTGTACAGTCTGGTAAAAGGGGCTGCTGTAGAGCTTGCTGGCGGCTTTCTAATTTGCTTTTCCCTTGTTGAGAATGTGAGCTTGATTGTTCTAAGTAGGACTAGTAATTTTAAAATAGATGTTTCTTATATGCAGTAATCTGTGTTGCTGTCTGAACCCCTGGGATATATGGGAAATATGATGAGAGGCAAGATTACATTGCTTAGTTCTGCTTTGGATGGATAAGTGGTGGAAAACATTTTCTGAAATACCAATGTGTATAACTGTAGAGGAGTAATACTGTCTAATTGGGTCTTTAGAAACAGCATTTGAAAGCAGTTATATCTTTGTCTGGTAGTTTGGAAAAATCACTTTTCTGAGGCCTTTTCCTCTTTGTCTTTTAGTTTATAGAATTAAAGGCAAGTCCTTGCTGTACAAGAGACAAAGAATGTTAAGTGCATTCATTCATATACCTGTTTCTTGGTTGTTGCATCTTAACATCTGAAACTTGAGCTTCTGCTTTGAGAATGTTACAGATTTAAGAGAGTAGCCTAAAAAAGGTGATTTCTTAAGATGTTACTTTTGTTTCTTGATCTCAGGAAAAGGAGCATGACTAGTAAAGCTCATTCTCATATTGTCTACTGAGGTGGGAGGGAGTGGTTGTGAGAAGGGAGCATGGTATATGCTGTGGCTGACTGGGCCTCTCTGTACTTTATAGCCAAATAGGAATGATTTGGCCTCATAATAAAAGATTATACAATTCTTAAAAAATGGTTTCTTTTCCTGCTTTGTAATAATACAAAGGCCATTTTTGTCAGTTTCTCATTACCATAACATTTTTCTTTTATCATTTTAAACATTTTAAAGAACTTCTATACAGTGTAGAAATTTTTAAGAGCTATTGACTATTTTGAAATTATTTATATATATGTGTGTATATATATATATATATATAGTGTCTCAAAAATGTATATACACTTTGTACACTTTGAATAATTATTAATCCCAATCGATTAAATCTGAAAAGGAAGAAAAATCAATTGAGCTATTAGCTGTTAAAGTGTGTATATATATTTTTGGACCACCCTATATTATTATCCCTTTTCTTTCTATAGTTAGTATCCTCCTTTGACATGGTGTATTAGCATCTTAGGGGTGTGAAACAAAAATGTATTTAAATCATGCCTTCACTATTAAAAGTTTTGTGACTTCACCTTTTTGAGCCTGTTTTCTCATATATAAATTGGGATTGACAATAGCTTCTATAGTTAAGAGGGTTAAATGAGAAACTCTATATAAATTTTCTTGGGACAGAGGAAGGCTAGAGTTAAAGAACATGCGCTTTGGAACCAGGCATTCTGATTTGAATGCTAGATCCCCACTTAACGTAATTTGGCCTTATGCAAATTATTAAAGCTTTTTTGTGCTTCAGTTTCTTCATCTATAAAATAAGGATATTGATAGAACCTGCCTTCTGAGGTGGTTGTAAGCAGGTATAACAGTATTTGGCATATAGCAAGTGCTCAATAAATGCTAACTATAAATAGCGTAGCCCAGTGTTTGCATACTAATCTATTACCAGGCATTAATGCGGTTGTTATGACAGCTGAATGCTAAAAGGAAAACAGTAGTGGTTAAAATGCTCTCCATGAAGTTGTCATTATTAGGCATCAGTGGAGTTAACTACAGAATTTTCTATAGTGTTGTGGCTTAAAGCCCATAGAGAAAGTTGGAGTGCTACCAAGAAGCCAGGGGCCAGTGTAAGAAGAGACAGGCTTAGATTTGAATCCTGACAAGTTATTTTTTCCTCTCCTAAAAATCTAATGAGTTACTATGCTTCTGAGCTTTCTCATCTTCTAATGTTTACCCATCTGTAAATGGAATAACGCCCTCTTGGAGGGTTGGTGTGAGGAATAAATAAAGCCTGGTGTGCGATGTGCCCAAAACGATGGTTGACGCACAGTTAGCACGCATGAATGAGCAATTGCTGCTATTCCCCAGAAACAGAATCCTCCAGTAGGTTTGTAGATAAGTCACATCTCTAGTTATTTACTGGGTAGAATTGATAGTGGCTCCCAGGAGCATTAGCATGAAGGTTCTTAGGGAGTGTGCCATGTCTGCAGTGGTTGTTGGAGGGCATGACATCTATGTGGTTCCTTTCAGCAACTATGGTATTTTTCTTTGGCACTTCAGTTTTTATTCTTTTGGATCTCTCTCTTATGGTCCACTTAATCTTTCTCAGCAAAGGTTGACAAATTTTTAGCCTTAACCTCCAGGATGCTTCATGAATACTTCCTGCTAGTCACTAGAAATACTTGAAGTGTTAATTTCCTGGAATTTCAGGGACTGGTCCTGGACATCCATTTGTGGGTTATGATTTTATCCACATGCTTTGGAACTCCCTTTTGCATGTTTATCATAAATCTAAACAGATACCACTTAGGAATCTGAGATAAGTAAAGGCCCCTTTTCTGTGTGTGTGTGTGTGTGTGTGTGTGTGTGTGTTTAAATTAGTCATATATATGTATAAAGGGATGGCTTATTAGAAAAGATATTTTTTAGCTGGATAATTTTGCAAATAGTTTGTCTTTCCCAAAAATGGATATTTTCTTTGGAATACATTTGGCCTTTCCCATAGAAAACCAGTATAAACTTAATGCACATAAAACTATTTAATCATAGCCATTAGTTTCTTTGACTAATGGATGAACATGTAATGATCTTCAAGATTGCAGGATATGCTTAATTCAAAGGTTTTAGGCAGAGCTATTGGGTCTAGAATAGATTCCCCCAGTTTCTTTGGCTAGCATTTGAAAATGATAATATGTTTATTTACACTTTAATTTTTAAAGAAGTTGCTTATTCAAGTACACATTATTATCTATCTAGGAATGTCTCAAGAAAGATTGTGTTAGAGTAGTTGGAGGAACTATAAGGAAAAAGGGACAAGAAACTACCTTAATTTCATTCCTTTAAGTAGGAATAGGAAACTAGGCTATTAAAATATTTTATATTTTTAGGTGTTGAAAAATAATTTATTTAATTTGCAGTTTTGTTAGTAAAATACTATTTTTAATCAATATTTCTAGGAAAGAGTCAAAACTAAAAGATTATGTGACAACATTGTATAAACGTAGTAATTTAACACAGAGGAAGGATGCCGCAGAGATTATTTCTGAGCAATAGCCTTCTGACAGTTGAATCCTAAATACTTGATTTGTCTTAATGTTTTTATCCTCCATTTAACGTCAGCAGATTTCCA